AAAAAAAAAAAAAAAGAAGTGTTTGTTGTGCTCCTATAGTTATGAGTTAAATGGTACCCTGCAAAAAATAGTTAGTTTTAAGCCTTAACTCTTATACTTATGAACATGACCTTGCTTGAAAATAGAGTCTTTGAAGATATTAGTTAACATGAGGTCATACTGGACTAAGGTGTGCCCTAATCTCATCTGAGTGGTGTCCTTATAAGAAAAGGAGAAGAGACAGAGAGACACACACAGGGGAAAGGTGGCCATTTGATGATGGAGGCAGAGATTGGAATGATGCAGCCACAGCAAGGAACACCTGAAGCCACCAAAAGCTGAAAGAGGTAGGCAAAGATTCTCCACAAAGCCTTCAGAGAGAGCATAGCCCTGCCAACACTCTGAATTTGGATTACTGCCCTTAGAATTATGAGAAAATAAATTTCTGTTGTTTTAAGCCACACTGTTTATAGAACTTTGTTATACCCTCTCAGAAACTAACACATCTATGATGTGCATTGTTGTAGGATCCTTCGGGGGAATAGGGATAAATGCCATCAGTCACTCAAAGGAGATTCCAGACTAGTGGAGAATGGATGGTGATGGGCATGTTAGCTAGATGTAGGATTGATGAGAATGAAAACCACAGGTAAACAGTCCCATAAGGAGAATGCTTTTATTTGTTCTTTCATTGCTTACATTTTCTGCCACAGAATGTCAAATCAAAACTCTAAGTAGTGTACCTAGCCTTTGACAGTTTGGCACACCACAAAAAGTATCATTGCAGAAATTACTAGCACAAATCCTTAGCATATTGTCATGCACACTCTACCTACACACTTCCAGGGATGGAACTCTCATGAGCTATCAAGGCATGGGACCCATGGTCTCAAAGACATCCAACAAGACCTTGACCAACTCTCATCACACCACATTGATTGAGCCCTTTGCATGCTCTTGTATTGAGAATATCCAAGAGGAAGATCAGGTCATTCAAACAGGAAGGTAAAAAACGTCACTAACCTTGGGTGGAAGATTGGGGACTTTCAAGGTTACCACGAAGGAAAATTCCTCAGGGAAGAGGTCACACCTGATGAAAATCCGTGATGCAGGGAAGCTGATGGAGTGGGGGGTGGCAGTTGAGAGCTGGAATCCTCGTGCACCCTGAGCTTGTATCACCCTGACTCCACCCACAGCGCCACCAGAAGGGACTCCTTCTGCTAGGATGTCCAGCGGGTGCAGATCTGTTAGAGAAATCACAGATGGGTCATGCCCAGCCATCAACCCAGTCATCTTCCCTTCACCACAGTAACCATGACAGCCACATGTGTGGGATACCCAGTGGGGCAGGTGCTAGTCTAAGCACTGCACATCATCCTTCCCATAACTCCTGTGAGCCAAGTATTGATATGATCCTGTTTTACCAGAAAGGAAGCCAGGCACCAAGCATTAAAGAAGCATCTGCTCCCTGACACTGTGCCTGACTCCTGTGAGCCCGATGGGTGCATTTGGGCTGCAGAGGCACATTGGTATTGATGGTGTCTTTGAATCAACAAGCAGACCTCATGCTGAGTGTAGTGTGGGGAACAGAGGGAGGGAACGTCCCAGCACTGGTTCCCAGGGAGTGGACAGTCCACATGGAAGAAAAGCTCACACACATAAAACATCTAGGAGGTGGAACAAGCTGTACTCAGGCTTACGCTCTTCTCTTTTGGGCCTCCAGGTGCTTACACACCTTCCTCTGGCCTCATTCTATACTAGGTAGCCCTTGGACAGAGCCTTGCATAGGGGCTGCTGGTAGGTGTGGTCAGTGGGGCCTGGAAGGGCCATGGAGCTGGATATTGCCTCCTTCCTGCCTTTCTTTCTAGACATTTATAGGGAGACAGATCCGCTCCTGGGAGGATTTCTTTGTTACAGTTCAAGGTCATCACCAACATAACTGATGAGTCCAGAAGATAAGCAGGAAAATAGTGGAGCAGGAAGGAGGTTCTGAACCAGTCCCTGGATTGTTCAAATGGGCCCCAGTTGTTGAAGAGAAGTGATAGTCAAGTAGAGCCCAGGGATCATGTTGGAACTTCATGATCCACCGCACCCATGGCCATGGCTTGGGGTACTTGACTGGGCCCTTGTGAACTGGAATATTCATGCCTGGAGCTGGATCCCTCAGGACCAATGGTCTGGCTTAGAGGCTTCCAGCCTGAGCCTGAAACAGTTACGTGTCTGGGGGACATGTATGCTGGAATGTGAGAGCACAGAAAAATGGAAGGACACACACCAGAATGACCTCTGAGGAGGAGGCATTGTGATGAAGGGGACAAGAGTATAATCTACAATACTTTAATTTTTGCAAGGAGAATATTATTATTATTTATGCAGTTAAAATCAGAAAGCAAATTTTGAAGAGACTATTGTTTCTTGAAATAACTTGTACCATAAGATAACCCACTGTGTGTAGCAGCAGCGAATAACTATGTATATGGAAGTGTTTGTATTCTCTAATGTAGCAAACATCACAGCAGTTATCACCCTGAGAGGAAGTTGTGTAGGGGTGGAGGGGCCCTAGATTAACTCTAGGGAGGATGCTATGTCTTGGGGGTGGGGGGCAAGGTCTGTGCCCTGGGAACCTGACCCAGGACTAGCCTTGGACTGGCCAGGGCCCCAGGACCAGACTCTAGGAGACCCTGCCCCTGGATCTGTCTCCTGGTTGGAGTCCACTGATAAAAACTGTGTACCCTAAAATCCCCCAAAAAATATCTAAGAGACACTGAGGTACACGGAGTCCCACCCAGGGTGGCTACCTCCTCTGGGTTTGGTTGTGGCACTACCAGGTGCAGCTCCATCCTCAGGGAAAGCATGTCCATCCATGCAGTGCCACCCAGCACCCAGAACATGCCTCTCTCCTGAGCCAGGGCCCAGCAATTATGGCAAATTAACAGCAAGGGTGGCACTGGCTCTAATGTTCTCCTGGGCTGTGCTGGGGGTGATCCAGATTCAGGAATCAGTTAATCCTGGTATGAACCACTCCCTCCATTGTTTAGTTAAAATCTCCTCTTCCTGGCTTCACCCCGGCCCCTACTCCACCTTTGCCAGTGCAGGTGGGTTCTGCTCTAGCAAATACTTAGAACAGATTTATTGGTTTATTTTTCTATGTTACCATTGCATACACATATGAAGATTTCCAAGGTCAGCAGAGGGACATGGGTTTTATACATTCCTGGAAAAGGCCCATTAGATGAAGGAGGGAGCATAGTACTGGGTTTATGAGAGAAACTCAGCATCCTCTCAGTGTATTTGGACATGTGTAAGTTATCAAATCCTGCAAATTAATCCTAATCAATTCAACAGATGCTTAGTGGCAACTGGTACTTTCAAGGGAGAGCATGAAATGCAAACTGACAACACAGGATCATAGGAGACAATAGAATACTGACCATGACTTCTGCAGCGCCAGCCCAGGAAGCCAAACCATAGCCTCCTCAGCAATCCACTCACAACAGTCAGGACTGGGTCAATTTCTGCCAGCTTCCCTAACTTTTGCCTCGTTTCTGACTAAGGACCAACCAGAGAAAGCCAAGCATGCTTCCCAGCCTATCACACAGGACACCAGACCCCAGCCCCTCCAGCAACCCCACACAAACATCCCATCAAGGTATACCTGCATTTCCTTTTTTCTCACTATAAATATGTCCTACTCCCCAGACACTTTTGAGTCTCTGCCTGCCAACTCAGGAGATGATGACCAACTCCTTTGCTACAGCAGCTCTGAATAAATAGCCTTTGCTTGTTCTCAGGTGTGTGTGTGTGTCAAGGGGCTGCATTTATTCCACAATGTGTTCTTGAAGCTATAGTTCCAGAAATGGTTGTTGCTCTTGAGGTGTTCATAGTTTAGTAGAGAGGATGTGGTAGGCACAGTGCAGATGACCTCAAAGCCAGGCTACACATATGGCTCTAAAATAGACCCCAGAGGGTTTAGTCTAACTCTTTAAAATGGAATGACAGTCAACTCAACAACAAAAAGATGAACAACCCCATTACAAACAGAACCTTTACCAAAGAGGATATCCAGGTGGCCAACAAACACATGAAAATATGCTCTTGATCATTAGCTATTAGAGAAAAAAAAAAAAAAATCAAATCAAAACTACATTGAGACTTCATCTCACCCCAGCTAGAATGGCACTTATTTTAAATAAGTAGAAACAAATGTTGATGAGGATGTGGGGAGACTGGAACCCTTATCCATTGCTACTGGGACTGTAAAATGCTACAACCATTATGGAATATGGTATAGCACATCCCCAAAAAACTAGAAATGAAATTACCCTATGATCCAGCAATCCCACTCCTAGGTATATACCCTAACACAACACAACAATGCAACACACTGCCATGGAGTCAGACCCAACCTATAGCAACCCCTCCTTGGGTTTCCAAGATTGTATTACTACAGAAGTAGATTGCCCAACCTTCCTTCCAGGGTACATACCCTAGGGACCTAAAATTAGTGACATGAACAGACATATACACACACCTATGTTCATTGTGGCATTATTTACAATAGCAAAAAAATGGAAACAATTGAAGTGCCCTTAAGTGGATGAATGAATAAACAAAATGTAGTACATACATATAGTGAATACTATGCAACTATAAAGAACAATGATGAGTACACAAAACAACATGAGTGGGCCTGCAGGGCATAATGCTAACTGAAATAAATCAAGAACATAAGGACAAACATTGTAAGATCTCTCTTTTATAAAAAAATAAGAATAAACACACTGCCATCAAGTCAATTCAGACTCATAGTGATCCTATGAGTAGAAGTAGAAGTGCCCTGTAGGGTTTCCAAGGCTATAAATCTTTACAGAAGCAGACTGCTTCATCTTTCTCCAATTGACTGAGTTGTCCCATGAGACTATGGTCTTAAGCCTTCAAACCCAGAAAATCAATTTTGGAAGGTGTTTGGTTATGTCTGAGGAGTAGCTGTAGTTTTGTCTTCAATGAATATATGTGGCTTCTCACATATTTGCACATACATATAAATACTTCTAGCTGGGCTCACATATGTATATACCTTTATCTACCCATGTACCTATATGCCTCTACCCCTCTGTATGTGATCATACGCTTGTACAGGTTTGAACTGCCAGCCTTTTGGTCAGTAGCCCAATGCTTTTAACCACAGCACCACAGAGCTTCAAGACAAGAATAGACAAATATATAAAGAGAGTACTGTTAATTTATATATTGCTGGTTACCAGGGAGAGATAGGGGTGGCGGGGGGAGGGAAGGATGTTTTAGATCATAGATACTTGCCCCTTTTTGTGATAGGAAAAGTAGCACTGAATGTGGTATAGTGAACACAACATGACCAAAGTAAATGATGTTACTGAGAAACACTCAATAGAAAAGGATGCCTGTACTAAATAATTTGACATATATAATATGGCAACAACTCTAACAAAGACCAAAAAATGAGTGTTTGATCACATATGGATGGGTATAGTCATATAGGTACATGGGTAGATAAAGGTATATACATATGTAAGCCCAGCCAGAAGTATTATATGTATGTGTAAATATGTGAGAAAGCATATATATTCATTGAAGACAAAACTACAGCTACTCTCAAACATAACCAAACACCTTCCAAAATTGGTTTTCTGGGTTTGAAGGCTTAGGACCATAGTCTCATGGGACAACTCAGTCAATTGGCATAATACAGTTCACAAAGTTCATCTTATTGATATGAGTAGCATCTGGGGTCTTAAAAAACTAGATACAACTATTGGTCTATACTTGTTAGGAGCAAAAGAGTAAGAAGGTGATCAAAATCTCAGTGAAGAAACAAGCCTACAAAGCTAATAGCCTACACGAGCCATGGTCTCATCTACCCTGAGACCAGAGGAACTAGATGGTGCCCAGCTACCAGTGCTGACCACTCTGACTGGGTTACAATAGATGGTTCTGGACAGAATGGGAGAATATTGTAGAACAAAATTCAAATTTTTAAAAAAGACCAGATTAACTGGACTAGTTGACATCAGAGAACTCCCTGAGACTATTGCACAGAGACACTCTTTTAACCTTGAACCAAAACTATCTTGTGGGGTCACCTTTTAGTGAAATAGTAGAAAGGCATACAAAGTAAAGAATATGACCTGTAAGTATTGTGCTTTACTGAAAAAATATCTGTATGAGACCAAAAGGTCAACATTCAAGGCAAAGATGACAAGATAAGGGAGTAGGGAAACTACAGAACTGGAAACACAAAACAACCAGAAGACAAAGAGAATGTTGATACACTGGGGAAAAAAATGTAACTAATGTCACTGAACACTTGTGTGGAAATTGTCAAATGGGAGCCTAACTTACTGTGTAAACATTCACCAAAAGCACAATAAAATGTTATTTAAAAAAATAAGATGGTAATAAACCTGCCCAAGAATTGCTTCTTGGAGGCCTCCTCTACTGGAGCCCCCAAGAGTAAGGCTGCTCAGGAGACCAATTGCCTTTGCTGGATGCTCAGTGTGAACCTGGGGCCCCTCAGCCAGGCAAAGGCCTGCCCACATTTCATATAGTCTCCGAGGAGACTGCTCTATTACGTAGACAGGTAGAACTAAATAACAGATCAAATTCTCTTTACTCGGGGTATCTCATTTATTTAAATTTTGTATCTCCAGGGACCAGGAGCAGCTTATTATCAAGAATCTAGGTGTGTGCATTATCAAGGTTGTCTGTGGACAGTAAGCCTAAACAACAACAACAAACATCTAGTACCCCATATGAAAGGGGATCCACTCCCCTGTTACTGACAATGACATGGAGACTGCAGGAACACAGCTGGGTACAAAGAGCACAGCCTCCTACTATGTCCCTCAGCTGACTCTTTGGACAATGTCATGCATCTTAAGAACTCCTTGACTCCAAGGAACTAAACCAGAATCCTGGTCTAAATTTCCCAAGTTGCCTTTAAGTTACTAAGATGTAAGTTATAGGATACATTATAATATGTTTGCAAGTCATTTGTCTTAAGGCTAGGGAGTTGTGGGGCAAGGCCAGTATATTAGGTGTGTAGGGGTGTAAAGCTGGGATATGTTTTACTCTTGGCTGTAGTATTTAATTAATTTTTTTGGAACAGGTAATTTATTCACAGAGTTCAAAAATCAAAATAATGCAAAATGTGTATGCAATAAAAAGCAGTCCAGTCCTGGCCCCAAAGAGATAGATGGGCCAATGCTGTGAATAGTGCCAAGAGCTCAAGATCCACAGGCAAGTGGGAATCAAATATAGCCCAGTCCTCACACCAATCAGTGGGAAAAACAGGCAGATTAGTTGATGGTGGTGGGAAAACTGGGTTTCTCCTTAGGGAGAAAATGGAAGCTAATTTCCTCCTCAACAGCACACACAGAAGTGGACTCCAGGTGGGTGGAGGATCTAAGGGTGAAAGTAATGCTTTAAGTTAATGGGAAAAGTTAGAGGAATATCTTTGTAAGGTAGGGGTTGAAAATCGTTTCAAACTTCATAAACATAAACCATCAAAAAAAAAAAACTTGATGAGTCTGATGACATTAAAATATGAGAAAAAAATGGGCAAAGGACATGAGCTGATGAGAGTACACAGGAAACACACACACAGATAGCTACACAAAATACACAGACACGCTCACAAGCAGACACTCATGCATACATACACCCAAACGCACACAACAATGTTCAGCCTCACTCGTAATAAACAAATGCACATTAGAGCTAAATCAAGGGGACATTTCTCATTTTCAGACTACCAAAAATCTCTTCTTATATATATGTAAATATATATTTTTAATTTTTATTGTGATTTGTGTGAAAGTTTACAGAGCAAATTCATTTTCCATACGGCAGTTTATACACATTTTGCTCATGACATTGACTGCAAGTTCCCACAATGTAACAACTCTCTTTCCACTTCCTCCCTGTAGTTACCTCTTCCCTGCATTCTTCCCTCCCATGCACTCTTGCCCCTCAAGCAGTTTCCCTATGCAAACACTGCTCTTTTATTCTTCCATGATTGATCGCTCCAAGGAGTGTATCTACCTGATGTAAATGCTCACCCCATATACCTGTCTATTATTTGGCTGGAAGCCGCAGGAGTGAGTTCAGTTCCTGACCTTAAGGGTAACTAGGGACCATAGTCTCAGAGGTCTCACCAGGCTCTATCAGACCAGTAAACCTGGTCTTTTTTTTTTTTAATGATTTTGAGTTTTGTTCCACAGACTACCAAAAATCTTACTGGTTTGCAGCAAACAACTGCTCTCACATATTGCTGGTGGAGGTATTAAATTCTACTCACAAACACCTGTGGAAAGAAACATGGTATCAATATTAACCTAGCAATCCTACTTCTCCTGATAATATGTTATCAGGAGGGATCAGTTCCTGAAGAAGGACATGATGCTTGGTAAAGTAGAGGGTCAGTGAGAAAGAGGAAGACTCTCAATGAGATGGACTGACATAGTGGCTACAACAATGGGCTCAAATATAGCAATGACTGTGAGAATGGTACAGGACTGGACAGTGTTTCGTTCTGTTGTATGTAGGGCATAGTGAGTCAGAATCGACTCGACAGCACCCAACAACAAAAATCCCACTTCTGAGAAACTCTGGCTGGATGGTTTTTCATGAGTTTGGAGTACGTGCGTGCAAAGTTGTTCACTATAGCATTATCTGTAATAGGAAACAATCAGAAGTAACTGAGTGTCCATTTATCAGAAAATGATTGAATAAAATGAGGAATGGTAACATAATGGAGTATTATACAGATGTAAAAAATAATGAGGAACTGCTTATGCACTAATAAGCAAACACCTCCAAGATACAATGATTGAAAACACAAGGAGTATACAGTGTGCTACTCCTTGAGGAAGAAAGGGGTGGGGAATAGAAATATATATTTGCATAAGAAGTCCTTGGGTGGTGCAAAGGGTTTGCACTTACTTACTAAACTAAAGGCCTGGCAATCTGTCTCTGTAAAGATTAAATCCATGAAAACCCTATGGAGCAGTTCTACTCTGTAATACGTTGGGTCACCATGAGTCAGAATCATGTCAACAGCAATGAGATTTTTGTTTGCATAAAGAAATAGACAATTAATAAAAGATGTGACCTATGGGGTAAGCAAATGAGTACAAATGGGAGAGAAATGAGAGTAGTCATAGTTATCAACATATACATTTTACATTATTTTCATTTTTGAACTCTGAATAAATTATCTGTTCCGAAAAAAGTTAATTAAAAACTATAGCCAAGAGTAAAACATATCCTAGCTTTACACCTCTACACACCTAATATACTGGTCTTGCTCCACAACTCCCTAACCTTAAGACAAGTGACTTGCAAACATATTATAATGTATCCTGTAACTCACATCTTAGTAACCTAAAGGCAACTTGGGAAATTTAGACCAGGATTCTGCTTTAGTTCGACATTGTCCAAAGGGTCAGCCAAGGGACATAGTAGGAGACTGTGC